AGATGTTATTAAGGTACCTTTCTCACCAATGAAACAAGGTCATGGGACCTTGTTTTGAACAAGTTTGGATCTACCATTTTGTGAAAGTCCAGAATATCTATCCAAGAAAATCACACAATCACAGTGATGCAAACACACTCTCAGAAAAAAAGGTACAAAAGCTGTCACTGCAGGGCTGTACCTTTTCAAAAGGTAAACTTTTGTCCACTTCAGGTGCTTCAGGTACATTTTATGCACTAATAAGTACATTTTAGGTGCTAATAAGTACATTTTATGTGCAAATTTGCACATTTTAGGTGCTAATAAGTACATTCTATGTGTTAATATGTACATTTTAGGTGCTAGTATGTACATTTTAGGTGCTAATATGTACATTTTAGGCTACTGTATGTCCATTTCAGAAGCTAATATTTACATTTTATGTCCTAATATTTACATTTTAGGTGGAAATATGTACATTTTAGGTGGTAAATGTATATTTCAGGTGCTGATATGTACATTTTAGGTGCTAATTAAGGTAACAATATGCAGCCTTTGGGTACAAAAGTGTACCTTTTGAAAAGGTACAGCCCCAGTGACAGCTTTTGTTCCTTTTTTTCTGAGAGTGCATAGGAGACAGACCATACATTAAACATTCATAACTATTCTGTTTTGGTTGTGAAGTCGTATGAATTTATATACTATAATTTGCAGGTTATTGTATACAATCTGATCACGCCACACAGATTGTACAAATTCATAACAAATTCATGCAGCATCCTGAAATTGAAAGTCTGTATTCAAAGTGCACAGGAATCTCCACTCAGTTGTTTCTGAATATATTCATTATACTTTTCATTATCTGGTGAATTGTTATTGTATTTATTTTCTCTTGACTGTCCACCATCTTGGATCATTTACTTTTCAATGAAATGCATTAATCGCAGTTGTAATGAATTTTGTCAAAAGAAGGCATCTTAGATGGTTGCATAATTATATCTATAGAACAATATTATGACCCATGGTGTCAAATGTTTTTTAATCTATGTAAATCTCATTTCTTCCTGCGCAGGACATGTACAGTGGTTTGATCGGGCCGCTGGTCATCTGCAAGAAGAGCCTGGCTCGTACACTGGGGCTGAAGAAAGAGATTGAGGAGTTTGCTCTGCTCTTCATGGTCTTTGATGAGAATGAATCTTGGTATCTGGATGACAACATCAAAGCTCACGTTAAAACCCCTTCAAAAGAACTGAAGGAGGATGAGGAGTTTATCGAAAGCAACAAAATGCATGGTGAGTTTAATGTGTTCTGGGCTGATCATTGATTTGGTCATGGTCTTTGAGGACGAGGTTACTTATTTTACAGTCAATAAGTTCTAAATGAGTTCTTCTCATGGAGTGGATTAGCATGCTAAAATGTTCTAAGTAACTGTTAGAATAAAGATAACTGTTAGCTCTGTTAGACTCACTCTGAGAAATCCTTTGCCTCAGCATCATTGCATTGCTTCAGCATTAAAATTCAATGAATGTTCTTGTTGTTATTATTATTATTAAAAGCTCTAATGTATAACTAATGGTTATTCCTTTGTTTATTACAGGAATCAATGGTTTAGTCTATGGCAACCTTAAAGGCCTGACCATGAAGGTCGGTGAGAAAGTGTACTGGTATCTGATGGGAATGGGAAATGAAGTGGACATACATACTGCACACTTCCACGGCCATAGCTTTGACTACAAGGTAAAGCATCCCTCCATTCCTACCTCCCTCACTGACTCCCTTACTCACCCACAAACCAAACCACTAACTCACTTACCCACCCCCTCACACTCACTCACTCACTCACTGACACACCCAACCACTCACCTAACCATTCACTCACCCACCCAACCCCTCACACTCCTCGCTTTCTCACTCACTCACTCACTCACTGACACACCCAACCACTCACCTAATCAGTCACTCACCCACCCAACCCCTCACACTCCTCACTTACTCACTCACCCAACCACCTAACCACTCACTCACCCACCCACCCACCCACCCACTCCCTCACCCACCCCACCACTCACTCACCCACCCACCCACTCACCCAACCACTCACTCACACACTCACTAACTCACTCACTCACTCACCCACCCACCCACCCACCGACTCACTCAATCCCCCACCGACTCACTCACCCAAACATTCATTCACACACACACACACACACACACACACACACACACACTCACTAACTCACTCACCCAACCAACCACTCATTCACTCACTCACCCAACCACTCACTCACCCAACCACTCACTCACCCACCCACTCATTCACTCACCCACCCAACCACTCATTCATTCACTCACCCACCCACTCACTCACCCAACCACTCACTCACACACACACTCACTAACTCACTCACTCACTCACTCACTCACCCACCGACTCACTCAATCCCCCACCGACTCACTCACCCAACCACTCACTCACACACACACACTCACTAACTCACTCACCCAACCAACCACTCACTCACTGACTCACTCAGTCACTCACTCACTGACACTCCCAACCACTCACACACTCACTCAACCAACAACTCACTCACAGACTCACTTACTCATTCACCCAACCAACCACTTACTCACACACACTCACTAACTCACTCACCCAGTCACCCAATCACTCACCCAACCACTCACTTACCCACCCACCCAACCACTCACTCACTTACCCACCCACCCAACCACTCACTCACTTACCACCCAACCACTCACTCACCCACCCACCCAACCACTCATTCACTCACTCACTCACTTACCCACCCACCCAACCACTCATTCACTCACTCACCCAACCACTCACTCACCCACCCACTCATTAACTCACTCACTCACCCAACCACTCATTCACTCACTCACCCGACCACTCACTCAATCACCCACTCACCCAACCCAACCACTCATTCACTCACTCACCCAACCACTCACTCATCCACCCACCCACCCAACCACTCACTCACCCAATCACCCACCCAACCACTCATTCACTCACTCACCCACCCAACCACTCACTCACCCACCCACCCAACCACTCACTCAACCACGCACTCACTCACTCAATCACCCACCCAACCACTCACTCAATCACCCACTCACCCAACCACTCATTCACTCACTCACCCAACCACTCACTCATCCACCCAACCACTCATTCACTCACTCACCCAACCACTCATTCATTCACTCACCCACCCACTCACTCAATCACCCACTCACCCACCCAACCACTCATTCACTCACTCACCCAACCACTCACTCACCCACCCAACCACTCATTCACTCACTCACCCAACCACTCATTCATTCACTCACCCACCCACTCACTCAATCACCCACTCACCCACCCAACCACTCATTCACTCACTCACCCAACCACTCACTCACCCACCCAACCACTCATTCACTCACTCACCCAACCACTCACTCACCCACCCAACCACTCACTCACTCACCCAACCACTCACTCACTCACCCACCCAACCACTCACTCACTCACCCAACCACTCACTCAATCACACACTCACTCACTCACTCACCCACCCAACCACTCATTCACTCACTCACCCAACCACTCACTCACACACCCACCCACCCACCCACTCATTAACTCACTCACTCACCCACCCACTCACCCAACCACTCATTCACTCACTCACCCGACCACTCACTCAATCACCCAACCACTCACTCAATCACACACTCACTCACTCACTCACCCACCCAACCACTCATTCACTCACTCACCCAACCACTCACTCACACACCCACCCACCCAACCACTCACTCAATCACCCACTCACCCAACCACTCATTCACTCACTCACCCAACCACTCACTCATCCACCCAACCACTCATTCACTCACTCACCCAACCACTCACTCACCCACCCACTCGTTCACTCACCCACCCAACCACTCATTCATTCACTCACCCACCCACTCACTCAATCACCCACTCACCCACCCAACCACTCATTCACTCACTCACCCACCCAACCACTCATTCACTCACTCACCCAACCACTCACTCACTCACCCAACCACTCACTCACCCACCCAACCACTCACTCACTCACCCAACCACTCACTCAATCACACACTCACTCACTCACTCACCCACCCAACCACTCACTCACTCACCCAACCACTCACTCAATCACACACTCACTCACTCACCCACCCAACCACTCATTCACTCACTCACCCAACCACTCACTTACCCAACCACTCACTCACTCACTCACTTACCCAGCCAACCACTCACTCTCACACACACAAAATATTCTTCCAGAGCAGCAGAGTGAGACATGTTGGCTTTTATTGTGGATCACCCACCCACCCAACAACTCACTCACTCACACACACAACCACACACACACACACAAACACACTCACCAGAAACTGAAGAACTCTTCCAGAGCAGCAGAATGATGTCTGTTGGCTTTTACTGCAGATCAGTGGCACACATCGGGCAGACGTGTTTGATTTATTCCCCGGGACGTTCCAGACAGTGACCATGCGTCCGCTGTACTCTGGCACATGGCTATTGCACTGTCACGTCACCGACCACATCCAGGCCGGAATGCAGACCACATACACCGTACTCGAAAAAGACGGTGAGTCACCATAACATGGACAGCAAGTACAAGTCTGAGATCCGTTTAAGAAATTTAGTGCAAGAAACATATTTTACTACCCTGTTATGTAAAGCTAAAGGGCAGAGCGGGGCATGTTGTCACACAGGGTTGTTGACACAAGAACTCAAGAAAAGTCTAATTACACAAATGTTTGTTTTGTGATTAAATTGAGTACATTTTACCAGCAACACACACTGAATGATATCGTTTTCTTTCTTCTTTTAGGGAAGAAGAGGTTCCTGGGTTTGTTTGGTAGCGGTTAAAATGAGCTTGTAACAGGAAGTTTGTTTTCAATACTTCCCCATGAATTTTCTAAATAAACACTTGTAGTTCTTCATAACTATTTTATTGTGCTTACATGACTTATTTTACTTAAATGTGACAAATATATTGTTAGCATTACAATAAAAAAATGAGATTGGGAATTGATAGTTGTTAGCATTTGAATAATGTTACAGAAGCTTTCAAATTTGATTGTTTAAAGGGAAGAGCATGTTTACAGAATGATCTGCACATTTGAATATAATTTAATAAACAAAAAAGGGCACTTTAAAATGTTCATTCTGAAAATCAGATGAAATGAGATGCATTGTGGGTAATGTGCACACATATTTCAGATACATTTAAAAAAATCAGTGCAAGCCTAACAAATATTTAAAAAAAACACTTGTAATTTAACAATTGAACATCAGCATATTTTGCAGTTTATATTTATCCTGATTTAACAAGGCAGTACTTTTTTTTAAGTAAACTTGTAACATTCCAGACTTGATGAATGATTGTAACATATAGTTCACAGCAGTCAAAGGACACATGATAGTCTTTGGTAATCAGCATTCAAAGCAGCAGGACGACTGTAAATGCGGATCCTGTCTTTAAACAGGTTTAGTGTTGATTCACAGATTGTCTAAAATAAATGCCAGTGTCATGAGATTTCATTGGCAGCATTCAAGCAGATGTGGCAGGAAAAAGTGTGCCGTTCCATCATCCGGCAACAAGTCCAGGAACTCCAACGGGTTCAGCTCTCGGGCCGCCACAAGCAGAGTTTCTGTGGAAGAAAAGAGCAGAATCGCTTTAGTTCAGTGCGTTGTGTTGGGCATCCAGTGGCTTAAAGCGGCGGCTACCTTTGAGTGCTGAGAGGAGGACGGCGTTGTGGATTCCTGTTGTCCTCATCCGCTCACACACCTCAGGGAAAAGCTTCTGCCACCACAGAGGCTGGAGGGAGAGAAGGAGAACTCACTCAGCGGACAGTAAACCAACATAAAAACTGACATGAAAGTCCTAGCATACCATACTAGCATACCATAACTAGTACATAACTAGTATACTCATTCTAATACTTCTTTGGCTCGCCAAATCCTGGCAAAATGTAGCTAATATTTTGCTGATGTGGCCATACCTTCAAGGCCTGTTCACATGAATGAACAATAAATATAAAGATAACACTCACTCTTTACGAGCACTACGTTTGTTACAGTATATATTAATCTTTGTTAACGTTAGTTAATAACAATACAGCTGATCATTGTTTGTTCATGTTCGAAAAAAGATTTTGATGAACGAGTTTGAACAGGAGCGTCACGAACGCTTATCACAGAACAGAGCAAGGCGAGCGTTTGTGCTTATAAAACTTAAAACTTTTTATTTATTTTTTAAATGACTGATCGTTTCGCTTGATAAGACCCTTATTCATCGCCTGGTGTCGTTTAAAGCCCTTTGTAGCTGCACTGAAACTGTCTTTTGGACCTTGAACCATTTGGTTCCCAATGAAGTCCATTATATGGAGAAAATCCTGGAATGTTTTCATCAAAAACTTTAATTTCGTTTCGACTGAAGAAAGAAAGACATGGACATCTTGGATGACATGGTGGTGAGTAAATTATCAGCAAAAGTTTTTTTTTTTTTTTTTTTTAAATGAACTACTCCTTTAAGTTTTAACACAATAACCCTAAAGGCACCAGGGTGGTGGTGCCACCGGCTTATATATATATATATATATATATATATATATATATACTGTATATATATATATAGCTGTAAGCAGCGATGAAGGGCCAAATTGGGCCCGTAATCAATGCTTGCAGCTATATTTAGGGCCCAAGCCCAAACTGCAAGTGCTGCAGTTTTAAATGCTCGAGCTCTCTAGAGTCCGGTGGATTCTTAATGGCTGTTTATGGTTTTATCGTTCATCAGCTGAATATCGTTTGTTTGTATCCTTACGGTTGTGTTGTGGACTTCTATTCTTTTACATTCAGAAGGGTTTTAAAAACTGCATGTTTATCATTATCAAATGATTTCAGTGAAGTTTGGACGGACATTTTAGGAAAGTAGCAGTGGAAAACAGTTTGTGAATCCATTCAGAATGGTATTTTTCATCAATTTTTATGACACTTTGGCCGACAATGTTGAGTTCTGACAAATCAAGGCCAGCATGTGTGGAAGCACGACTCATGGCGTATCGCGTGTCACCAGTTTGTCGTTCTGCAGCTCGTGGTTGGCGTAGGAGATGATGGCTTGTGGGCATCGGTCCAGAAGCCTGTCGATGGAGCTGTGGTGTTGGCCCAGTCTGGTGGCGCAGAGCACATGGATGCTGAGGCCGGTGGCGTCGGAGTCCGACAGCTGCTCCAGCAGAGGCAGGATGGAGGAGACCTCCAGCGTCGGCCCACACAGCAGAGACTGAAGGGGAACACAAGAGCCAAAGCTTTACTTACTCACAACTTTATACATTTATCCTGTCAGATCCAAAAAAGAAAGAAATCAAGATTAATACTGTAACAAATGTAGTGCTCGTTGTTAGTTAATACATTCACTAAAGTTAACTAATGAACCTTATTGTAAAATGTTACCGAAATTATTTGTCGAGCCGAGGTTCGTGAACACTGTAAAAATGATTTTTCATAGTTGTAAATAAAACAAAGATTATATGATTGTTTTACAAGAAAATATCATTTCTATTTTCTAATTCATAACCCATTCAAAATGTCATGTTTAATTCAGTGTTTCAATTTCTGGATGAAAAAGGTTTCAAAGTGAATCCTACAACACTTTTTTTCAGTGTACACAGGGCCAAACTTTACTTCAGCTCTTCTGGCTGCACTTTATAGAGCTCCTGGATATTAATGTGTGTTATTTAATGGTGTTGCTAGACGAACAGAGAGAAATACATGAGTACACACCTGAAGTTTGAGTAAGTCCTCCTGGTGCTCATGGGTGACGTTGAGCTGGACAGGCGTCAGGATGCTCACCCACGGATACAACGTCCCATAATGAGAACAGGAGTTTATCTGGATATAAAGAAACATTTGATGAGGAAAATTAACTATCTTTAAATACCATTTCCAAGCTATAGTAATTAAAGATGTCATTTACTCATTTACTTGAGATCTAACGTCACTTACAGGCTAACTGTGCTATCTGTTTGCTAAGCCAACATTTCCTGCACCATTATGCACACTAAAACAAAGAAAAATCAGCAAAAGAAAATATAAAATAGCCTTCTGGTCAAATGTTTGGATTGTTTTAATATTTTTAATCAAGTCAATTCTACTCACCAAGGCTGAATTTATTTGACCAAAAATACAGTAAAAACAGTAATGTTGTGAATTATTATAATATATTGTAAACTGAAATATATTCCTGTGAAAAAAGCTGAATTTTCTGCATCATTCCTCCAGTCTTCAGGGTCACAAGAAATAATTTGAATATAATGATTTGTGGCTCAATTATTACTGTTGCTTGAGTCAAGTGCTTTTCCAAAGTTACAAGACATTCGACACAATTTTGTTGTTTGGAAATTATGTTTAGTGCCACTTTATATTAAGTGGCTTTAAGTACTATGTACTTACATCGAAAAATAAGTACAACGTATTCCTGTTGTTTTGTAAAACACTTTTGCTGCTATTGAGGTGTGATACGGGTAAGGTTAGGGACAGGTGTGGTGGTATGGGTCGGTTTAGGGTCAACTGTGTAATTACATAAATTAATTATAGCTGTAATTACATGCTGGTATTTTTCAAATATAAGTACAATGTAAAAACATGTATGAACACAATAAGTCCATTGTATCAAATTATTAATTTCAATGTAAGTACATAGTACTTAAAGCCACTTAATATAAAGTGGGACCTTATGTTTTATTAGGGGTGTGACGACACGATAGAGTTCACGACAACGAGACGATATTTTAACACTATTTAAAAAAAATCTTCAATGAAGAAATATATGACTGGAAAAGGTTTATTTTCAGTTTTATTCGACTGAAAGTCACAAAATGCAAAACCATGCAGGTGCATTTTGATCAAGGGCCGTTAGTAACAAATATTTTTGTAATGGAGTAATTTGCCGATAATTTTGACGATTAAGTAATCTGATCTTTTTTTTGTGGTAATAAAAAAGGAACCAAAGTGAACAATAGGCTTTAAAATGACAAAATACATAATAATACTAATGCCTGGTTATTGTTGTTGTAACACTACAGCATGATCAAATCCTTGTTTACTATCGGCCATATCAACAACATTTAATTCAAACGTCCAAATAATATTTAATATTTAGCCACTTCTGTGCGATAGAAATGCTACAGCCACTGTAATTTCTTGAACAAGGACATACACATCAAAACACACGAACTCAGAACTTTTATTTTGAAATCACAACAAACAGTTTGCATATTTAGAAACATATTGTTGTACTGTCGTTTTCCGCACTGTTTATGCGCCCCGGGTTTTAATCGTCTGTCTAAAAACTCTGTCCAATCGATTTTTTTTTTTTTTTCCAATCAAACTCCACAGTCCGACAAATGAAGAACTACTCCCTTAGAGAGAGAGGTGGTGCTGGAAAAGCTGTATAAATAAGGTTTTCATGATACTAAATACAAATTAAGTTTCCAATAGAAGACAGTTTGTTTGTGCAAAGAGTTTCTATTCTAATGAAGCTAGATTACTCTGTGGTGTTCCCCAGGGCTCTATTCTCGGACCCTTATTATTCTTTATATCTTATGTTTTGTTATCCATTTGTTTCACTGGTTTTCTCTAAACTCTCTTGTGGCCCACTGAAGATCCTTGGACCCCAGTTTGAGCACTCTAGTGATCACCTAGAACCGTGTAAGGTAGGTTTTCTTGCTCACCAGATCCTCTGCCGTTTTGATGGCTTTGACGCCGGAGCGCTCTCTGCACGTGATGCGATCGATATAAACAGACGTGAGACGGAAGAGGAGCTCTTGGATGATGGATTCAAGAGAGGACGCTACTAACAGAGCCTCCCAGAAGTCCACCAGTAACTGAGGACTGCTCTCAACCACAACGCCATTCTTACACAGCTCCTGAAATGAGAGATGAACACACACGGCTATGAGAATGACACGGACAGAAACACTCTCTGAGTCTCTGTGTGTACCTGGAAGAAGAGATCGGCCTCCTCCAGTCGGATCTTGCTGTTCTCGTGCAGAGCCACGACCGCCGCCACCAGCAGCCCCTTGTGTGTGTCGCGCAGGTGGCGGGCCAGTGTGGTGGGCAGAACCGCCTTGCCTCTGCCGTGGAGCAGTAGTTTGGGCTCTTCGATGAAGCCGTACACCTGCAGCATCTGCAGACGGCAGAGAATTAACATAACATAAAGTCACTCACAGGGTCAGGAAAAACAAACACGATATGGCCAAAAATGATAAGAAAGGTTATCACGATAAAGGTTTATATGGCGATAAAGCCGTTTTTGTTAGCATTTTGTTTTTGTTAGCATTTGTTTAACCTGTAGATAGAAATACTTTAGAAATGTAATAATCTAATGTAAAAATAAAACACTGAATTGTCTTCAATGTATGAATTAAATACAAGTTGATTCTTTTTAAATATCCCAAAGTGATTCGCTTTCGATTCGATTGAAACTTCAATTTCAATTACATAAACTATGTGAGATTAACATTTTGTTCAACGTTTATATTTAACAACATTTTTTATATTGAAATATGAAATGATGGGAAAACTAAGTGTTTTACATGAAACTAAAACTGCTGCTCACTATTGAGTGAGTCATTTATTCATTTGATTTGTTCAAAAGGACAGATTCATTCAAGAACAAAGCCTGTTATTTTAAGAATGGGTCATTTAATCATCCGCTCAACTAATTTGTTTAAATGTGGATTTATTCAGGAACCAAACACCACTATTGATGAATTCGGAACAAAGTGTTGTAGTCAAGACCACCGAAACTGATCCCAAGTCAAGACCAAGACCAAGACTGTATTGAGTATGAGACAAGACTTTCAAAGAAAGTCTCAATACTAGGATACTACTCCTACTACTTTTACCATATCTTTCTATGGAAAAAATAGTGTGATAAAGTTGTATCGTCAGCTAGTATGCAGTTTTTTTTTGAGCCCATATCTTGATTTTGGGGGCAAATTAACCATAAAACCATACATTTCCGACCTGTAAAGGTCCACTCTGTAAGCATCGCTGTCTGTATATTCCTTCAGAAAACAGTGTGTGCTGTACTTGAGTGTGTTTAGAGTTTTCAGAGGGATTACGTACAGATCTGGGATGAATAACTAACAATGCTGCTACTAACAAAGTCTAGTTTTAAACATTACAGGGACCCATTCCTCCTGAAATACCTCAGCGTGGCGGTCCATCTGCTGGCTGTAAGTGTGCAGGTCCCCGTCCCGCAGGGCCAGGGAGGCGATACACAGGGACAGGGTGATGGACGGGGCCCCGGGGGCCTCCAGCTGCCTCAGGAGGGCAATGGCCCCGGCAGGGTCGGCCTTCAGCATGGACGGGCTGCTCACAACATGAGCAAGCTGAGCAGGTTCAGCCACACTGAAGATCTCCAGGACTTTATCAGCCATGTCCTGCAACACACACACACACACACACGATACAGGTCGACTGTTATGTCATCATTTGATATAACCATTACATATTAACAATTATACTTTTTAAATTTTAAATGAGGTTGTCACAAACATTTTGTGTAATTTCATTATTCTTAACCAATAAAGAAATTCATGAAACTAATGTTATGAATGTTATGTTATGAACTGCAAACAGTACAGCTGTTAAGTTTGTGTGCTTTTTGAGTTCAGCCAAGAGGTCAATCTGTGCATTTTAGATCCACTAATGGTCAAATGTGTTTGTGCTATGCAAATCTGCAGGTCATAATGGAGCAGGAAGTTTAATGTGACCGTAAATGTTGCCTAAATTAATTAATTAATTAATTAATTCAGTATTCCAGGTGCAGTACAAGTGAGCTGGATCGACAGCATTTATGGCAGTATTTTAAAGGGATACTCCACTTTTTTTGGAAATAGACTCATTTTACAACTCCCTCAGAGTAAAAAAGTTGAGTTTTACCATTTTCAAATCCATTCAGCCGATTTTCTGATATTTAGAAGAATATCAGTATATATATTTTTTTCCTACTATGGAAGTCAATGGGACCAGAAACTGTCTGGTTACTGATATTCTTCTGAAAACGGTAAAACTCAACTTTTTTACTCTGAGGGAGTTGTAAAATGAGCCTATTTCCAAAAAAAGTGGAGTATCCCTTTAATAACCACAAAAAATCTTTCAGACTCATCCCTCATTTTCTTTAACATCAGACTTTTTCACCCCAAGAATCTCCAACATGACGATCCTTTTGTGAGGGACTCACTTAAATATAACATCAGCTGTGCATTTTGTGTATAAATATATTTATACTATTAGAAAATAGTTATTAGAAAAAGTTTTCCGCCACATTAAATAATTTTATTCTATATTGTCATTATACAAAAGATAATTAAATGTATCCATAAAACTTTGTATTTAGTTGACAGTGAATGTATTGTTAGAATAATGATAGTTGCACATATAGTTATAGTTGTATAAACCTTTCAAATCAAATAAAATGTTTCTATATTACTGTTAAAACCTTGGTTATCAATAGAATAAATAAAATAAAACTATTGATTTCAGTCCCAGCAGAATAAAACGGTAATCATATCAAATTCAAACTTTAACAGCACTAAAAATCAATAAATGTGACAGACCCTATGAGCCTCCCTGTTTGAAAGCCCCCGTATCAGATGATTTTAAGGCCATTTTGACATTTCATTTGCGACATAAGCATTTGCGTATCCTGCCTACCTAACAAGCAAATTCGTGAATACGTATAATAACTGAAACTTTATGCACATGCAGACAGGAATGTTTTAATTGTATTTAAGCAAAAACTACATCAAAAATATCCATGTGTGAGACACAGGTGTTTCCTTCATTACCTTGCTAAGCTCCTCCATGTTCTCCTCATAGATCGAATGCTTCAGGAAGAAGAGAAAGCCTTTGCCGTAACCGTTTGAGGAGCTGCTCATGAACATATTCCTCTTAATGACATCAGTCACACTGAGGCCTGACATCTTATAGTACGGAAGAGCCAGATGATAGTCCTTCTTATCAAACCTGCGAATGAAACATGACATACAGATAATGACTGACCCCATCAGAATATGTAAAACCGCATTTTTCCATCTGAAATACGTCATATGCTCTCAATGACAAAAGCCAAATGACCTTGTAATGCTCGTATGGGTGGTTGCCCTGCACGCTTAATAAACAAACTACAGCTAGTTCAACCAGAACCAGGAAGTATGACCATATTAGCCCGAGTTAATGGTTAGTGGTCACTGTGATAAAGCCAAAACAATCTCTGTTTCTGTAATTTCCTATTGTCACTGTAAAGCAGCTTTGGAACAATCCACGTTGTTAAAAGCGCTATATAAATGACTTGACTTGATGTGATCAGAGCACGCAGCGGACCTGCTGAAGCAGTCTCCTAAGTGAGCGCAGCTCTCCTGAAATGCCTGCTGCAGCTGCGCTCTTCTCTCCGCAGGCTCGGGGTCGGGGTCGGGGTCAGGGCCCCCCCGCTGCAGGGCTGTGCGCAGGAGCAGGTGACCTTCACTCAGCAGGTGAACGCAGCTCTGAGACGACGGGCTCGACTGCTCGTATCTCCTGCTGTATTCCACCTGATGGAAACAATGAGGAACGTTTACATGCAGAAAAGCTGTTTGGTTTTCTCCCAAATTATTATTTTTTTAATTCATTTATATTTAATACATAAGATTTAAGTCATAAAAAGCATTTCTGATCAATTGAAATCATGAAACCCCTTTGAAATCGGTTATTTTTTCCCCAAATTCAGCATTATTTCCCCCAAATTTCAAATGTTTTCAGATTTTTGTCTTCTGGATTCTGTTTTAATGGTTTAACTTCATTTTCACACAATTAAATTTTTGGTTTGACACAAAGAATCAAGGCCAGGAGGGAATATGTTAACATACAGACTTCATGATTAAAAAGCAGTCTTTTTGTTGTTTCTGGCCACTAACAACCAACTCTTGCTAGTAAATACTCTTGTGTACTGTATGTTCGTTTTGCTTCCTTGTCGTTCATCAGTCATCTTCCCTTCTGCTATGTTAAAAGAGTCATCCACTCTTAAGGCCAATTTATACTTCTGCGTCGAGGGTACGCCGTAGTGTACGGCGTTGGCTTCGCACGTAGGCGACGCCGTTGTGAGCATTTATACTTCTGCGTTCAGGTATTGGTTGCTCTGCAGTACTGCTCCGAAACGCTAGGAGGCGGCGGAGGGTTTTAATGTTCCACTGTGTTTAGATTCCTCGCGGCTAGGCGAGAGTGGATCATGTTGGAGTTGGAGCTTATTGGGGTGGAAAAACAGTTCATTTTAGTGAAATTACTAAAACTGAAAGGCAGAAATGAGAGAAGACGTCGGAGGAGATGGTACGTGTGGAAATGCGTGAGAAGGCACGTGCGGAAATGCGTAGGAGGAAATACGATGCTACCAAGCCGACCAATCACCGATCTTGCGGTTCCGCGTCGTCGCGACGTGTAGTTACATTTTTGAAGAGGTGCGCGTCAGGCAACGCGGAAGGGTACGCGGTATGGGACGCGTCTGTGCGTATGCTACGCCGTACCTACTGCGCGCACCCTACGCAGAAGTATAAATTGGCCTTTACATTACATGTTTGTGCATTTTTAGGGGCGGAGCAATGAAGGGAGGGGTGTGTTTGATTTGGTTGATTTCAAATATCAACAGTGTTCACATAAAATTCACATACTGCACCTTTAATTTGGTTTTATTTAAAGGGATACTCCACTTTTTTTGGAAATAGGCTCATTTTACCACTCCCTCAGAGTTTAACAGTTGAGTTTTACCGTTTTCGAATCCATTCAGTCGATTTTCTGATATTTAGAAGAATATCAGTAACCAGACACTTTCTGGTCTCATAGTATATTTTTTCCTACTATGGAAGTCAATGAGACCAGAAACTGTCTGGTTACTGATATTCTTCTAAATATCAGAAAATCGGCTGAATGGATTCGAAAACGGTAAAACTCAACTGTTTAACTCTGGGGGAGTGGTCAAATTAGCCTATTTCCAAGAAAAGTGGAGTATCCCTTTAAGCAAATTAGCCTTAATAACGGATTTTCTGCATGTGTAATTTCTGTGCCGCAAACGATTAGCATAATCGCTGTCAGATATGCCCACTCATAACTGTTGTTGGACATTTTACATGTCAATCAGACAGTCTCTTCCTGTCCAAGTGTAAGAATAACAATATAAACATCTCAGCCTGGCTCTAAAAGAGTTTGTGATAATCGAATCATATCTGAAGCGCCAGTACTATTTCTCTGTAGAGCTGCAGTGTGGACACAGAAGTGATGACATAGAGGTTCCAGCCGTGACCGCTGTCCGTCGGCTCTGTGGGTTTGGAGATGGAGATCTTCCGGGATCTGAGGAATATAGAAGACAATGACAACAGTCAAAGGTCCTAATCCTAACAGCACCGTTGCATTTACTGCTCGGTTTTCTGAAATTAAGGTGCCGTCACATTTACTATTCTTTTTGGGCGAAATGCAGTCAATAGGAATCAACAGCCATCTGGAATTATATGTAGCGCTGAAGATGTTTCTATTTTCGTAGTTGATCAACAGAAAGCCGCTTGCTTTAAAAGTGATTTCTGTTTAACTGTGCTTCATACTTCACTATTGAAAATAGACCAGTTTTGCCCACAAAAGTTTAATGAATTTCAATGAAATTTCACTAATGTGACTGCACCTTTTGTCAGTATTCTAGGACATTTAACAAATAATACCAATAAAACACACTTAAAGGGGTCATGATGTATTTTATTTTATATAACATGTTCCTCAAGTTTCACTTATAATGTTAATCAAGTTTTTTTGCACTATATATATATATATATATATATATATATATATATATATTAGGGCTGTCAAACAATTAATCGCGATTAATCGCATCCAAAATAAAAGTCTGTGTTTACATAATATATGTGGGTGGACACTGTATAAGAATTTTATATATATATATATATATATATATATATATATATATATATACATACATGCTTGTATATATTTAAGAAATATTTTCATGTGTATACTGTATAGAAAATTATATATAATTTATATTATATATAAATATTTTATATATAAATAATATTTTTTTCTTAAATATACATGCATGTGTGTATTTATATATATACAAAATAATTATACACAGTGCACCCACATATATTATGTAAACACAAACTTTTATTTTGGATGCGATTAATTGTGATTAATCATTTGACAGCCCTAATATATATATATATATATATATATTACTGTATATACTGTATATATACACACACATATATACATATATATATATATATATATATATATATATATGAAAGGGTCAGTTTTTATGGCGCAAATCATTTAAGGCTACTCAGTAAATGGCCACTGTTATAATTGGCTAACGTCACTGCATAGGAAACAGTCTCAAAAAACCGCCATTTGCAGACAGAGCATTATGAAATCATTTAATTATGGTTTGTAATGCAGCTGATCTCAGATCCAATATAGTCGCTGCTTCAACTGTCAACACAATTTACTTACTGTGCTTCGAATACAAAACAAAATGCTCCGAACAAACATATGTGTGATGTGAACAGGACACATAGAGACGAAACACACAGTTTAAACTGAACGTGTATCTCTATACAGTATCAGTGTAGACAGCGTCAGTGATTATAATGGGTTTTATTTGCTTTTGACGCAATGCTCACATCCAGTGTAGACACTTTAGTCAGCCATTAAGTGAGTCTCTATGGGGCAATGATATATCACTATTCGACGATGTCTTCATATTTTCGTATTTTCTTGTGTTGTGCCACAGATCTCACGATATCAAAACAAGCCGTTTTCTTTATTTAAAAAATTCTCTGTTTATACTGAGGAGGATGTTTTAATCTATATAAATCTTGCAGAGTGTTTTAAAAGAATAAAGACCACTTATATATCAAAAGATCAAGGCACATTTGATTTCCAATGTCATGACCCCTTTAAATGGAGGGAAAACGAATTACTTGTTAAAATGCCGGACTGAAAGGGGTTGTGGGATTAGTACAGCTGTGGTTGGTTAAATTCAGCTATATAGCATTTTCTAAATAAAAGGAAGTCATGAACCATAGTGGGAGGTTCTTGTCTCATTTATGATGAAGTCACGACTGTTATGAACGACTGCATGCAGGTAACACTCACAGTGGGTTAGGAGGAGTGTAAGGGCTTGTTTCAGAGCGGCCCACTGTTAGCATCATGCTACTCGCTAACTTACAGGAAGGACCTGGACAGAAGGCTTTCCAGAGTCTGCGTTGAGGACGGCTCTAGACCTACAGCTACTAAAATGCCTGTCAGGGCCCTGAGTTCCCTCGATTCACTACAATAAGAGTTACAGGCCATTTACACAGGGCACTACCAAACAGCAACGTCATACTGAAAGTGTCAAGCAGTCAAACCGTAAGAGAAAAACATTTCATTTGCGTAATCAGGATATAAACGTGTTGAACAGCAGTGATGGTGAACAAGCACACGTACGTGTTTTTGCGGGCTGATCTCTCGATGTCCTCTTTGCTGTCCACGTCCGCTGCTGTCAGGAGAACAATATGATTTCCATCCTGACAGAGAACCTTGAGTCCGATGAAGAGCTGGATCCTCAGAGCGCACACCTCCATCGTGGACGGCGGACAGGCCTGATGGGACAGCGCTCAGATATTCAGACAACTGCTTCTGGAGTCAATATGAGTGGTTTCTGATTCATGGACTTGATTCGGGAGTCGCTTTACCACAGTCGGCTCTAAGAACTGTGAGGAACTCTTAGTTATACTTCAATTTGAGCTTGTTTCGGCACGATTACAAACCGCTCTCGGTTCTCACTCAGTTGGCTCTATGTGTTCAGGTAGAATGCGTGCACATGTCCATTGCCAGTTTGTCACTGTATCTGGCCATCACGCTAATCACTTACTTACAGGAAGGACCTGGACAGAAGTCTTTCCAGAGTCCTAGACCTACAGCTACTAAAGTGCCTGTCAGGGCATTGGCCTTGTTTATGGCCTTGTTTACACTGCATGGTTAAAGTGACCCAAATCAGATTTTCTCAGATCGGATTCAGGACTCATATGTGGTAATAAATCGGATATGAATCGGATATGTGCATTTGCATGTGCCATGCAGACAAATCGGATATTCTCCAGTAAATGCAAGTCGTACGTCATTAAAATAGTGCGCGATTATACAGTGGGTGCGATGGAAGAAAGGATACACACAGTGGAGCAATACGGAGGTTTCATGTGTTTTGAGTGTTTGGGGCGAAGAGTGCAGGCAAAAATGCAGGGTTGTTACAGAAATAAATCTGTGTTTGAAGACATTTCACAAGATATGGCATGG